AACTCTACCCACAATCCTAGAGTGAAATACCTGCACACACACCCTCCCCAACCTCCCCATACCTTCTTGTTTGGGTCATTAAAAGCCATGACAAAGGCAACTGAGGCACTTGAAGTTGAGGGGATTTCACCTACACGTCCCTGCCTGAACAGTCGCATTGAGGCAGCTTCATAAGATGCACAGTGCTGCCGGTGCACCCTGCCAAGAGATTGGAGAAAAATATTTTAAACAACCTTTGTTCCAAAATGAAACCCCAATTCCAAAAATGTTGGGATACTATGTAAAAACAAAATATAAGAGAAGTCAATGATGTGCAAGTCAAAGCTATGTTCTAGTCACACTAGAATATTTTTTATTCTTTATCTTTACAATGCATGGTTAATAAACAGACAAGTTTAAAACTTCAACATTTTGTTGGTGCAGCCCAAACCTTCTCTAAATTGAGAGTTGCAACCATCATCAGTCTCATACAAATGACTTCATTACAGCTTAACAGTTGTAATGAAAATCTTGTGTCAGGCCCTTCAGAAGGGTCAGCTGGCAACAATCTATATGCCTAAACTTTATAGCCTGCTTAGTAATTAGATTAACAAAGAAATACATGTGCTTTTGATAAGGATCAACATTTTATGTTAATGTTAAATAAGCTTTACTCTCAATTAGGTCTATGCAGGAAAAAAAATTGTTAAATCTGTGACTACAGCATTTTGTGTTTTCAAAGAATGAAGTGTGAACCCAGGTTGTTACGGTTAATGAGTTTAGGATTGTCTGTTCCATCTTACCTTGGTAAAGGTAAGATGGAACAGACTTGGTAAAGAAAAAGTCAGCCTACAGAAACATCTCCATAAGGTTTAAATTACTCACCTGTAGTAGGCCAGCTGTATAGCCATCTGTATGAAAGCATCAGGGCTCATCTTGTTTGCTTTTAGAAAGTTTTTCCCATAGCGGTTGAATGAGAGAATACTGAAATCCAGGTCTTGGACGATTCTGTTGTGAAGAGGATAGAATAACAGATGTGTTTGTGTATTGCATGCTCCTGTTATAAGTATTGCTATTAAAATATGTATATATGCCTTGTTAAGTATGGAGAATGGAGGTAATGAACTATGGAGTTTTGCACTGCAATTTCTCTCTTCAAAATCAGGTCACTGGGAGAGGTGGCACCAATGAAGGGAGGCAGGACAACACACAATGTATAAAACAGTAACTAATGATCAAATGCAGACTGAAAAGTGTCTTCCTTACTCACGTCAGTGCATCATGGGAAGCCCCAGCAACCTACACCTATTTCAGTGTAACTAAAAGATTCAGGGTCACCTGATATAGCCCTACCTGTATGCTTTATCAAACAGGAAAGCTTTAAGCCTAATCTTAATCTTAAAAGTAAAGATGGTTTCTGTCTCCCGAATACAAACTGGAAGCTGGTTCAACAGAAAGGGGGCATGAGAGCTGAAGGCTCTGCCTCACATTCTACTTTTAAATATCCTAGAAAACGAGTAAGTCTGCACTCTGAGAGTAGCAAGTGCTAATGGGGTGATACAGTACCATAAGGTCATTAAGATAAGATGGAGCCTGAATATTCAAGACGTTGTATGTGCAGAGCAGGATTTTAACTTGGATACTGGATTTAACAGAGAGCTAAAGATAAGCTAATATGCCGGGTTTTTTTTATGTCACTGCCTAAGGACAGCATGTATAATGTGAAACAGAAGCGGTCCCAGAACAGATTTCTCTGGAACACCATAAATTAACCTTAGTGTGTAAGGAAGACTCCACATTTACATGGACATCAGATATGGTTCTAACCACTGCAGTGCATCATCTTTAATTCCTACGGCATGCTCAACTCTGTAATAAAATATTACAGTAATATCGAATGCTGCACGGAGGTCTAGCAGAACAGGAAACCTGGGGTTATTTTCTTCCTCCTCAGAGGCTTCATGACATTATGGCCCACACAGGGTTTTCCATTTCAATGAGCCTCTGTCTATAGCTGGGGGCTCATTTATAAACCTTTTAGTTTTAAAGTTGTGCTCCATTGATGGTTACTTTGAAGCAAAATTTAGTCTGTTTAGTCCATTTAAAATCAAACTCATTTGTGCCTGTGTGAACATTTGATCACACTCTGGTGTGGATCAAAACAACCGCACTGAGAGGAGGTGGCCTCTGTACGGTTCCAAATGAACTCCAGAGCGGTACTTATGGTATGAGCGTGATCCGACCAATCTAAACTAACTATAAAAGGTGTACATTTCAAGTTTGAGCTAAAAACTTCCCATAGCAACATACAATTTGCATTCTCATTGTAGCAAAGTACTATGGATGTGCAAAGGTCTGCAGGGGCTTACAACTAGCTGTGAAATGAATGGAAATTCTCTGTTCCCCAATAGTCCAGGATTACAGCACCTTCTTCTGATGTTTACTTTTGTTGCTTCTGCCCCAGACACATCTGGCCAATGAGCAGACTGAACATGACGCATTTTGCTGCGCTTGAAGTATACTTTGATTATTCTCTGTATGAAAACAACCCAAACCACAAGAGTTTACAAACTCATTTACTGATTTGAACTAAATGAACTATAGGTGTGAAAACACCCTTAGTCATGTTTATTTGGGTTTTTCCTCTGGGGATGGATTTTTGTTTTCAGTGGGGCTATGCAACTAAAACTTGAGCAGTAGCTTTTGTACTCACTTATCAATGCTTTGTTTGGCCTCCTCAATTGCTTTTTTGATGTCAGCTGTGATGTTGAAGTGTAGTTTCTGAGGTGTGGGCAAAGGCACTGTGGGAGACTCTATGATCTCTAGTTTCCTGCTGTTTCCAAAAAGGAGAAAAAAAAAATACAAATGACAAACAGGGAATGCTACTGAGGGGCAGAAAAAAGCCAGCATGGGTAAAATAATCTCTTATGTCAATGGACATTTCTATCAAGAGACTTTTTGCAAGTGTGTTGAAAGCTTAAGGAAAAAAAAAAAAGGTATGAAGTCACAGATGGGCTTTTCACCCACAGGAAGCATTCGAGTGTGTTTTGGGTGGCAGTCAGAGGCACAGGCCCTGGCAGGCTCTTTAAGTTGGCTATTGGCACATTGAATGTCACCTCTCTGGTGGGAAAGCTGGAGTTAGTGCTGTCTCTAGATTGGGCAACTCCAGATTGAAACCACAGTAACTGAACTTTTACTTTCATAGCGCTTTGTTACCCTGAGCACTCAAAGCCTCAAGCATCTCCAAAGACACTTTTTTATAATGTCAAGAATGCCAGCATTGAAAGAGATCCCATCCCCAAGAACACTTTTTTTAAACCCTTTGTTAAACATTAAAGATAAAAACCTGAGTATTAATCCACATTAGTATAAATAGCTCTAACAGGTTACACCACCATTTTTAAAGTAACAGATCCCTAGGGCTTAATGTCTAGGCTACAAAACTAAACCCAGTCATAGTCCAAGAGCAGTGATCTAGAGGGGAGCTGCCAGAACAGGAGTGGGTGGTAGAAGAGCTTCCGGAAAGTGGCATTCAAAACTGGGCAAGCCTTCTTGGATTGAGGTTCTGGTTCCACAAATTGACAACGCCTAAGCTTTTTGTCTAAAATTTGTGCACACAATCAAATTCCAATAGTTGTACATGGAGTTACATATCTTCCCCAAGGATAATTTGACATGCAGACTGAAGTAGCTGGTGAATCCATCCTTTGGCATGGGTTTCATAGATTGTTGCTTCCCTGCACTTCTGGGCCAGAAAACAAGTCCTGACTGTTGTCTGTCCTTATGTGCCAAAAGACAGTTCAGAGTAGCCAGCATTCGCATTGAGCCAGCACCCAAGTTGTTGGGTGGGGTGCTAGAGAGTACACCACCAAGCAACTTTGTCCTATGGGGAGACTTCAATAATCATGTGGGCAATGACAGCAAGACCTGGAGGGGTGTGATTAGAGGAATGGCCTGCCTGATCTGAATCTGACCACACTCAGATTAAGATCAGTCTGTCCATAACATGTTCAAACATAAGGGTCTTCATGAGAAAATGTGGCACCAAGACATCGCAGGGTGATGAAAAGTGGCGGATTGGACAGATGCTGGCAGACGTGTAAAAATAACTCAATTGTTTGGTAGTGGCTATGGTGGAGCTTTCACAGATTCAGTAAAATTAGCAAGTGATGGAGGCCAGCAGGTGGATGGGGGAAAGGGGAGGCGGAGGTGGAGAGACCCAAGGCGGCCGCCGGTCCGACTGTCAGGTGAAATGAGCTTCAGGTAAGAAGTTATGACCTGCAGTCTATCTGGGTCAGATATAAACCAAGTTTAGGTGGAGTTTATTTTCGTTCTGCTATCTTTTTACAGTCAGTTACAATAACTGGTACTGTGTACTAGCTAGCATGACGGACTTTCTATACAGTTGGGTGGGTGCTATGATGTTACTGGTGAACTTTATTTTATTCATATGGTTAGTTAGTAGAGTTGCATACCGTCCCGTAAAAAACCGAATCCTCTGGTATTCAGAGTTAATATTACGCGTTTCGCATTGAGCTGAAAATAAATGCGATTTGTCCCGTACTTCAGCTACAATTAAAAAAGAAAAAAAAAAGGGACAAAAAGCTGGAGTTATTCTGCATCTTTACGCTGTCAGCTGCCTCTTCTTCTCTCATTCCCCCCCCACCTCCTGCTGCTACTTCAATCACGAAACTGATCAATGATCAGCTGATCGGCGTTTCTGCCGCAAGTCCCGTCTCTCTTGCTTGTTTATCTCCCGCTTTGCGCCAGAAAGAGGAAACTAGCGGAGGTCGCGTTAAACAGCAGAAGCACCTTTAAACTTGATCAGCTGTTGTTAGAATTTATTTATTTTTAATTTCTAGTATCAGCCGATGTTTGTGGAGCCACAGCTGTAAAGCTGCTGGTCATGATATCGTTTGGTTATCTGGTGAGAGGGAAACATGAAGATGAAACCAGGAGATGTCCTTACTGAATCATCAGAGCTGAACAGGTGATGGAGAAACAGGTTGACCTTTTAGGTGAGATGAATGGGTTGAGGGAAAGCTATGAACTGTTTCTGAGAGACAAATAACACCAGGGTCCTTTTCTATGTAGCTGACAGCTGGTAACTGTACAGGGGCAGGTCTGGGAAAGTTTTGCCATGGGGCCAGGTAGAGCATTAACAGGGAAAGGGGGGCACAAAGAAATACTTTTCTTTCTTATTCTCATTTAAAAT